GTATCAGATGAATGTTCATAAATCCATGGGCCCCGATGGAATGGATCCTGGAGTACTGAAGGAGTTAGCAGAAGTTATGACAGGACCCCTCTTGATCATCTACCTAAGATCATGGGAGTCTGGGGAGGTCCCTTCTGACTGGAAGCTAGCCAAAGTTATTCCAATTTACAAGAAGGGTGTGAGGGAAGACCCAGGAAACTACATATCTGTTATTCTAACCTCAGTACCTGAAAAAATTATGAAGAAGATCATACTGGGTACTTTTGAAAGGCATTTAAAGGACAATGCCTTCATCAGGCACAGTCAATGTGGATTCACAAAGGGAAAGTCTTGTTTAACCAGTTTGATATCCTTTTGTGATAAGGTCACCTGCCTAGTGGATGAAGGGAAGGCCATGGATGTAGTTTTTCTCAACTATTCACCAGTGGTATTCCTTAGTGCTCACTTCTAGGGCCAGTTCTATCAATGATCTGGATGCAGGATTTGAATGCACCATTACCAAGTTTACTGATGATACCAAACTGGGAGTTGCTGTTGACCCTCTTGAGGGATGAGAGGCCTTACAGAGAGATCTAGATAGACTGGAGGATTGGGCAGTCATCCATAGCATGAAATTTAACAAGACCAGATGCTGGATTCTGCACCTGGGATGAAGTAACACTGGGCACAAGTATAAATTGGGAGAGGAGTGTCTGCAGAGAAGCCCTGCAGAAAGGGATCATAGAATATGCTCAGTTGGAAGGGACCCATCAGGATCATCTAGTCCAACTCCTGGCCCTGTTCAGGACACCCCAAGAATCCCACCATGTGCCTGAGAGCATTGTCCAAATGCTTCTTGAACTCAGACAGGCTTGGTACTGTGACCATTTCCCTGGCGAGCCTGTTACAGTGCCCAACCATCCTCTGGGTGAAAAACCTTTTCCTGATATGCAACCTAAACCTCCCCTGATTCAGCTTCATGCTGTTTCCTTGAGCCCTGTGTGAAGAGTGAAGAGATCAGTGCCTGCCCCTCCTCTTCCCCTCATGAGGATGTTGAAGACTACAATGAGGTCTCCCCGAGTCTCCTCTTCTCCAGGCTGAACAGACCAAGTGACCTCAGCTGCTCCTCATAAGGCTTCCCCTCCAGACCCTTCACCATCCTCATGGCCCTCATTTGGATGCTCTCTAATGGGTTAATGTATTTTTTATATTATGGTGCTCAAAACTGCACATAAGTACTCAAGGTGAGGCCACACCAGCACAGAGTAGAGCAGGACAATCACCTCCCTCGACTGGCTGGTGATACTTTGCCTGATGCACACCAGTACACGGTTGGCCCTCCTGGCTGCCAGGGCACACTGCTGACTCATATTCAACGTGCTGTTGACCAGGACCCCCAGGTCCCTTTCTGTGGAGCTGCTCTCCAGCCTCTCATTCCCCAGGTGCAGAATCCGGCATTTGCCCTTGTTAAACTTGATACAGTTGGATCTGAGGGTGCTGGCTGACAGGAGGCTCACTAGGAGTCAGCAGTGTGCCCTGGCAGACAAGAGGGCAAACCACATCCTGGGGTGCATTAAACACAGCATAACCAGCCAGTCAAAAGAGGTGATTATCCTGCTGTACTCAGCGTTGGTGCAGCCTCACCTTGAGAACTATGTGCAGTTCTGGGCCCCACAGTTTAAGGAGGATGTGAAGATCCTTGGATGCATCCAAAGGAGGGCACCAGGGCTGGTGAAAGGGCTGGAAGGCATGTCTTGTGAGGAGTGGCTAAGGACACTAGGTTTGCCTAGTTTGGAGAGAAGGGGGATGAGGGGTGACTTCTACAGCTTCCTGAGGAGAGCAAATGGAGAGGAAGTTGCTGATCTCTTCTCCCTGGTATCCAGTGACAGGATGCATGGGAATAGTTCAAAGCTGCATCAGGAGAGGTTTGGATTGACATTAGGAAACATTTCATTACTGAGAGGGTGCTCAAACACTGGAACAAGCTTCTTAGAGAAGTTGCTGCCCCAAGTGATTCAATTCTGCCCCTGTGCTCATCTGGGCTTGTGGAGATGGGCCAGTTATGGACTGCTGACTCCTTTTATGGGCCTGAGAGTAGCCATGGCAGGGTATTATTCAGATCCCCCACCTGCCATTGTCTGTCTATGCTCGTTTGTGGGTGTGAAGATTAGAATTTTATTACATAACCTAACACACACTACTTGCCTGTTGTAAATGTTGCTTTTTAAAAAAACATAAAACAATAACAAGACATACAGTTCTGAGCTGAGAGCATTTCATGTTTTACATTAGACTGCAATATATAACAGTTATTTTACATGAACTTCATTTGAATCTTCATTAGAAGTATTTATATACTTTTCCCAAGGGTTTCTCATACAAATATCTTCAGGTACCTCTAAACCCAGATTATTTGAAGTGCAACATCAATGCAAACTTTCAGTGTTTGTTCCTCTTTTGTAGTAGAGAAACACCTTACAACTTCAGTTACTGAAAATACATTTCACTCTGCTTCTGGCAACTGATTAGGACTTTTCAGATATTATTATCTGTAGATTAGTTTTCTTTCAACAATTATGCTATCATCTTGATACAGGACAGAGAAAATGTATTATATATACTTGTCTGATATTTCTGTGCTTTGCACTTCAGATAGTCATTCAATTAATTTTTCATTCCTTTAAAATGGATTATAAATTTCATTCAGTTTATCTACTGAATTATGACCAGTTATTTTAAATTTAGATTATGTCTAATCTGGTCTCAGTCTACAAGAAGGAGAAATCCAGTCATTAGTTTCAGTAAGTTCCCTGCATTAATTACCAAAGAAACAAATGGAAGCCAAATAGAAAGTTACAGACTTTATGAATTAATATACTTAAGATTTCATTTGTACTAAGCATTGACATTTTCAAGTTTACATGATAGACTTTCTGATACCAAACACCACCTGTAGAGGACAGATAGATAGGGGAAGGTAGAAGTAGAGGAGCGTACACTTGAGTTTTTACTCCTTGCTCTACATTTCAAAAACAATCCACCCAACTACTCTTATTATAACAGGTTAAAGCACAGTATAAGGAGAAAACAAGCAAATTGTTTTCTTTTTAAAAGTATGAAGATGCTTGAAAATCAGAGGAAATGGAGAAAAGTGAAGGGCACATCCCTGTGCTTTGAAACCTTTGGTTTCCTTGTGACTTACACAACTAATTCTGTTCACAAATCTTATGATAGTGCATTTCTAAGC